AATTGTGACATTTTTCAGGATTCTTTGATGAATAGTAAGTTCATATTTAAAAGCGGTTGATCAATTTTATGCATCCTTGCTGAATAAAAACATAAGTGTTAATTTCTTTGAAAAAAATTCAAACAAGTGTCATTTGTATTATAATTTATTACATAAACTGTTTGTGAATTTTTTTGCTTGAAAACAGTGTGATTGTGTTATATTTCCAATTATACTTGGTGTTATATTTTGCATCTAATGCAAAAATATTCAGACAATTACTTCATAAATATTTACAAGTACACTGATAGAAAGGTGAATTAAGTGCTATAGTGTGTAAAGTGACTTTCTTTCTGTGGGAAAGTGTTTGTGAGAGTCTCTCAGAGATGCTGAAGGGATTCAGAGATGTTTTTAGGTAAAGAGAAAATGTTCTTTGATGTCTGAAATCCCATATCTGTGGTTTTGTTAGTGAATGAAGCTCTGAGACTCAATCAGACAACCAGCATGGGAAACCCCTCATGACAGGAGACCATACACACACACACACACACATGCACATATTTATGACAACACCCACACACATACCAACTGTGTGCATATTTATACAAATACTTTCTTTCTTTCTTTCATGCACAACAAATAACTATAGAATAAGAATTCCCATAGGAAAGAAAAATCATAAGATCTCAATAATGTTTTTCCTAGATATTTCTTCTACTGTAGAGATTGAATGGAAATTAATGGAGTCTCTTGCTTCTCAGATTGTTCTCCATTTACAGAGCACCCTGTAAACTCACATATTTTCAGTCAATAATCTCAGCAATGTCTCAAACTGTGCTCAGATTTACCAAGAAACCAGAGATCTCAGTATGCATCAAACATTTCTCATTACATTCTTCCAAGAGTTGCTACCCATTCATTTGATAGCTTTATACTTTCACTGCATGCCAACAAGTATCTAATATGAAACAGTTGAACTAAATTTAGTCTCCTCCTTAGCTATGAAATAGTAATAAAGATTTGCTCTAGGTTGCAGCAAGTGCATATTTTCAGAAAGACAATCCACATTATACACACAAATAAAACTCTATCCAAAACACACACACACACACAGTAAAATACCTTGTGCATGATATCAGATGCTGGTGGCTTGAAGGCCGTGAGCTCTGTGAACGCCTACATAAAGATGTGTTTGTTTTCTTGTATTCATTCACTGTCTCAGTTCCACATATGACAACAGATTCCTGTTTACCTCTCACTCCCCCTGCTGCACTTCCTGTTGTTTGCGAACTCTCCTTTATTGCCTCACAAATACAGGTACACCTTATCACCGAACGCTTCTTTCTTCTGCCCTCTCAAAGTTTCCGATCTAGCTGTGCTGTGCGCTGCATCTCTGTCCTTTGTGTCTTATTTGGACGGCTGCATTCGTGAAGGCGGAGGAGAGAGAATGAGAGATAGATAAACAAAAAAATGACGTGGAAAAACTGAGAAACATATTGAAGATAAAAGCTCTGCATTAAGGAGTAGAGATAAAACGGAGCTGTTATCAAGATCTGTTTCGTAAAAGAACACGCAATGAGCAAAATCCTTCTGGTGTCATTTGTTTTCCCTCCTGATAAAATGCTTAAACCTGCATGCTTAAAAATAAAGGTTCTTTATTGGCATATTTGGTTCCACAAAGAACCTTTAACATTCACGGAACCTTTCCATTCCACAAAAGGCTCTTCAGAGTATTAAAATATTCTTCACGCTAAGAAAAAAAAAACTGTTCACTGAAAAGTTCTTTGGGGAACCAAAAACAGTTCTTCTGTGGCATCACTGCAAAAAAGAAGAATAGAAAGCCTAAAATGAAATATTTGCTTAACAATATACTCACCCTCAGGCCATGCAAGGTGTAGATGAGTTTGTTTCTTCATGGGAACAGATTTGGAGAAATTTAGCATTCCATTACTTCCTCACTAATGGATCCTCTGCAGTGAATGGGTGCCGTCAGAATCTAAACAGAGTCCAAACAGCTGATAAAAACATCCACAAGTAATCCACACCAATCCAGTCCATCAATTAACATCTTGTGAAGTGAAAAGCTGTGTTCTGTAATAAACTAATTCATCATAACGACATTTGTAGCTTCAAACCGTTGTTTCCGGTGAGTCTTCTATTCATTATATTGCTTTGGACTCTCACCTTGACGGCACCCATTCACTGCAGAGGATCCATTGGTGAGCAAATGATGTAATGCTACATTTCTCCAAATATGTTCTGATGAAGAAACAAACTCACCTACATCTAGGATGGCCTGAGGGGTTAGTAAATTTTCAGCAAATTAAATTTTTAGGTGAATCTTTCCTTTAAGAGTGTAGGCTGTGTGCTTTGTAGACAGCAGAGAGGCTCACTAGGTTTTGCAACAGAGCATGTGTGTTTATTTGACATTACATCAGCATGTAGCGATTTACTCACACCCTTATTGGTATGCATTGTGGCAGAGGAGGACACTGAGGGATCAAAACCATTGTGATATCACTGTAAGGAAGTGCTTTGAAGGGGATAAGGGCATAGGGACATCCAGAGATCACAATGTTAGCATTATTATGTCCACTGGACCTGTATCCACGGCAGGGATTTAAGGCAAGACAAGATAAGCATCACTTTCCCCTTACGGGCTCATGCAGTATCTCTGGTTTACAGTCCGAGACCTTCGCTTCACACTGATCAAAGCAAACGGCTGAGACCCTGGACCCTCACAATGCTGCAAGATGACATTTTCCCTGAGCCAACATCACACATACGTATGTACAGAAAAGTATTTTAGTGACAAAGTGACATGTGGCCAAGTATGGTTACCCATACTAGGAATTAGTGCTCTGCATTTAATAGTAAACATCCTTATCGAAAACTAACAGATCATCTGTAGTTCAAAAATCTCAGGCAGTGATCTTATATTAGATTTTTTTTTAATTGATTTAATTATATTTAACCCAAAATCAAAATAAGATAATTAACCATATTACCATACTGCATTACCATAATGCAAAAATATCTCATTCTCATTACTGTAATGCAATAAATAAATGAATAAACAAAAAGGATTTACATTTCCAAAAATTACTGTACAATATTACTGTAAAACAGTTTAAAAAGACTAAAAATCTAATGAAAGCCACCACTGAGAATGATGAGAATTATTATAAAAATAAGTTATATAAAAACAATAAAATAAACCAAAAGATTTAGTTGCTATTAAAACTTGTAAGTAAAATGAAAGTAAAACATCCAGAGGCAAGAGAATTAAAAAAAAGAAAGAATATATTTTATACTATATATTTAATACAATCTATTTGGCTTTTTAGGGTAAAGTGTAACTTGGACATCGTTTTCCTGAGATTCACACAGGGGTCAAATACTGCACTTAATAATTAGGTCATAGCGCCACCTGCTGGTAACAGCAAACACACTCCTCATAACGCAGCACAGTGTCTCCCTGTGGTAAGCTTATGTAAATAACAATAGCACTTACATTAGAGTCAGTGTCTTACACAAGATTGTGTTTCTGACTTCGGCAATGTCACTTTATGGATGAATCTCACAAAGACATTTCTGGGCCATATTATAGCCAAATAAATCAACTAAATGAGAAAATGATATTTTACATAAATAAAATTAAACCCATTTATTCATTGATGTTTCTCATTAGAATTGTATTATTGTATTCAGAATAAAAAAATCCTGTCTGGGCACAATAGCTTTTCAAAATTCACATAATTTTAGCTGCATAAATTATTGTACAAATGTATTACAAAACATAATTCCTTATTTTATTATTTATCTATTTTAATTATGGTAATAAGAAATGGCTTTGTGCTAAATCATAATGATAATTAGGGTGCAAAACTTTACAAAGGACCTAAAAATACCCATTTTACTAATGCAAAATGTAATTACTTTCTATGCTTTGATTTTGTAGTGAATATGACCCAGACAGGATGTGTGAGATCCGTTTGTTTAGATGGTTAACTCAAAAACCTAATCAAACCATCTCCCATTTTATGACATTGATAAAACAATGTTTTGAATCTAGATCAGATTTTGCTTCCTCTGCCTTATACATAAAAGGTCACGGATTTTTGTATCTCTCCGGTATCTCACTTCCTCTCCCACATCCTGTGGCTGTCAGAGGTAAACTCATCCAAGCTGTAGGGGAAAGACAGTGTGGCACAGTTTGACTTTACCTCACAGCGCCACTGCCAGCGATGAGGGCTCGAACCCTGATGCTATCTGAAGTCCTGTTCTCATCACCACACGTTTCCTGTGTTCATCACAAAAAAATGCACATGGATTTCAGATACTCTCAGACTAATGAACTCTGTTCGATGTTTTAAAAAAAATATTTATTTATTTATTTTTAGATTTTTTTTTTTTTACATTTTTATTGCTTTTTGATTTTTTTTTCACCTTCAGCTTTTGGAAAGGCATAATACAAACTAGACATACACCATAGTATGTCCAAAACCATGATAACAGCATGTCACTTTGGGATTCTTTTTATTTATTTATTTTAGTGTTAAAATGTTTATCATAAGGTTATTTTGACGTTTTCAGGTTTTCAGTAAATCAGTCATCGTACGCAAGAGGGCGCAACTGTACAAACGAAGTTCGATAAGCGATTTCATTATTACGTGGATAAAAGTATAAAACACATATAGAAGGTATCCAGTTTAATGTAGTTAAAAAGTGATGTTTGTTATGAACAACTCCTTTGAAATATGTTATTTTTCTCAGACGCAGAGTCTTAAGAGAAGCGAATTTACTAATCCTTCAGCAGACCGAGCGATTGTTCAGCTCATGAATATTAATTTGTTTACACGGTCTTGTTTTTTTTTTACTTGATTTACTGCTTCGAGCGTTTGATCACGCAACCTCATTAACATTCATATCCCAGACATTTACCAAAGCAAGATTGGCAAATTCACTGAGCAGCCTCAGTCAATGTCCGCCAATCAGCCAGCGATGGGCGGGGTTTTCCACGGTCTGCGCAGAGGTGGGCGGGGTTGTACAGGTAGTGTTTTACACTCACGCGCTTCGTCCAAACAAGAGTTGATTCACACACTGGGACGCACATTGGACAAGCTCAGTCACATAGCGGACCTCGTTAATTCCTCGTCTCTCTGGAAATGTCAAAACAGCACGTCTGATAATGTTGGGAAGAAAAGTACCTGGGTCAGGTGTGCTGAGCGCAGCTGCTGTAGGAATGGACCGGAGGAGGACAGGAGAGAGACTGCACGCAGCGCTGGCCGGACTGCAAGAGCTGCATTTCCTCCGGGACAAACAGAGTGCCATGGTGCACTGGGCTCTGACCCTGGACAGAGAGGACACCAAGACATCAAAACACGAGAACGTGAGCACAGAGGAGCTGAGACTGGAGGCGACACTTACTCTACTCAAACAACAGCTGGTAAGACATCTTAATAATAATTTTGATGAAAGTATTTGATTTATTTTGGTGACAATTGTATGCAGTGGAAAAGTTTATTTATTTTCTTTTTTTTTTTGCTAACATATGCATATTTCAATTGCCTTTGCATTTAATAATAAAACAGTGTGAATCAGTCAGTCCAAAATTGGGCTCTGTGTTTTCCAGCTGAGTTAAAGCAATCTTATTGATATGAATATTAATCAATAATAAGCCATTTAAATATTATTATATGTATCAAATATAGTATTTGTATTATGCTTTTACATCTTTTATTTGCCTTACTTTTATGGAGCTTTGACAAAGACATCTTAGAGAAGCAAACTGGATTCAACAGTTCTAGTCATATGACTATTTACACCAGCCAATAAAAAAAAATGCTTACAACATCAAGACAAAATGTCCTTTCATTTATAGCTGAAAACACCATGTAAAATACATGAATGACTCTTTTAAAACACGTAAACCTACATTTTGGTTACAAATGTGGTAACAAAGAACAGATCTGATGTGATCATTTTGAATGGATATAGATAGATCTACCAGATGTTTTCTGTGATTTAGTCAGTTCTTACATTATTGAGTGGATTTTCCAGCATCAAATGAGAATCTTTGCCTACCATAAAGCCTACACTCCCATGTGCTCTTACTGTAGTGAGGATTCACTGGTGTATTTTGTGCATGGTTTTGGCAGTGCCCTTGATGACTGAATCCAGTGCTGAATTACAGGCTCAGCTGGGGGTCATATAGTGAGTGGTCATAAATCAAGGGCTCTGAGGGGGGCCAGTCCGTTTCTGATGATTAACTCAATTTAATGAGAATGGCAACAGAGGAACTGTGGCCCGGTCGGCGACACAGATTTGACCCCGTAGCCGATGCACGTTTGAACCTTCTGGACTTTTGTTGAACCCTTCTAATGCTTGACGGTCAAAGTGACTCTGGTCTCTAGACATATTAGAGACAGGCAGTAGTGTTCTTACACCATTTAAAGGTGACATATCTTGAAAATCTGACTTTTCCAGGTTTTAAGTGCTATAATCAGGTCCGGGGACACCAGAGACTTATATTACATATTGTAAAAAGGGGCATAATATGTCTCCTTTAAATTAATCACAAAATGGCATATTTTTTTCCAAAGCACAAGGAAATTGCACAGTTGATGTCATCTACAATAAGAGCTCCAACAATGTTGATGTATATGTGCACTAAGATTCGGATATGCTGTTTGTAAGTCCACTTCCTAAAATTAACAGAAAACTAAACAAAATATTTATATATTTTATTGTCTCTGTAAAGAAATGTCCTGAAAATGTCATTAAGATTTTCATAGTAAATTACATTTTTCAAGCTGTGCTCTGCTCTAAATTATTTCGTCAGCTAGAAATAACTCATTGTGCAATCTTTAAAAAGAAAGGATTTATTCGTCAAAATGACTAGAAACACTGAGAAAACATCTGGCAGGTTTGCTTTTATATTTACTCAAATATCAGCACCCAGCTGCAACAAACCCCTTAAGTTAAGAAAACCCTTCATTATAATATTAACCGTATTATCAATAAGGATTTTCTCAGTTTAAGTGGTTTGTTTCAGCCGGTTGCATTATCCACACACCCATAGTTCACAGTAATACCCTCAGATAAAATTGGATTCATGTTCCTCATTGTTCTCTTTCACTAAACGGTAAGTATAAAGAAGACAGATTAAAATTTGTGCATTGTCAGAGTTTGGCACAGGTGTGACTCTTTACTTTGCAAAGCTGGTTTACAGTCAACCATTATTGATGTTCTGTATTTGGCATGTCATTTCCTCTTATTCCTATACATTTGGTTTACACAATAGTTTGTGTTCCTCTCCAGGAGAGAGATTAGTAATCTTACAGCACTTCCCCCGGGCTACCCTTTATCCTTACCTAGTTAATAGTCAACCGCTCTCCTTCTTTATTTGCTTCCTCTGTCTCTGTCTTTTCTCCGTCGTATAACAGCAGGAGTCATATCAGCCATTAAATGTCTGGAAGCATCCAGTTTTACATATTCTCCTGTGGTTAGTTTGGAATCAGAGTGAAGAATAGCTTAACAAAGAACACTTAGTTCTGTTGTGCTTGACTGAGTTTATATACAAATCTGCACATGTGGCTAATAAATGTACTAAACGCTGCTGCATCAGATAAACTGTATATGGTAATGCATGATATGAAGGTGATTTATTTGCAGACTGAAATTTGTGAATGTGTGTTATACCTGCAGACACGTCTACGCAAACAGGATGTGGGATTGAAGACTCATCTCCAGCAGCTAGATCAACAGATAAATCACCTGAAACTGGATGTGTGTAAAGCATCCACTGAACACCTAGAGAGTGACAGCAGACCCAGTTCAGGTGACTAAACATACCCATTTACATATCACTAATTGTAATTTCTGCTCCATTTTCCAACACCAAATGGAATTGTAAACTGTTTGTTTAAATGGCCTTAATGTGTTGGACATAACAGTGACAAATTACACACTTCACCTTAAAACATTTACACCAGTTTCCAACATTTTTAGAACTAAAGGACAACATCAAGCATTTTTTTGTTACAAAAATGAACTACAATCTAACAGTGCTAATTTCTATTCCCAGGATTCTACGAGCTCAGTGATGGGTGTTCAGGCTCATTGTCCAATTCATGCACCTCCGTCTACAGCGAGAGTCTCTCCTCCTCATCTCAAACCGGTCTGCTTCCTCATCTCCCCACCTCATATATGCCACATGGCCGTAGTGGTTCATAGTCATAACCAGCTTAACTTCTGAAATGTAAAGTACATTATCTTGATGCCATTTCTCTTGTGTCTTTCTTTCAGGGGACCTTGACCGAATGATTGCACCTGGTTTTGGCTCCTTCAAATCCACTGATGTGAAGAGCTCCACCCCTTGTTGTAGCCTACAAAACCCCCAAGTGGACCCCAAATACCAGAGTAACCTGGTATCTAGCAATGGGACAGAAGTGTACTGTTACCCCAGTCCACTGCATGCTGTGGCCTTACAAAGCCCCATCTTCAGTTGCACCACTGATCAGGGAAATCCAGTAGCACTTGATGGAATGTCTGGAGTGGGTCTTGAAGAGGAAACCCAAAACCCAAACGGAGGGTCCACAAATTCCAGGTCTGCTGGATACATCAACAAGGTACTACAGAGAAGCTTGAGTAAGACAAACCTGTTAAGCATAAAAAGAAATGACACCGTTAGCAGTACACAGGAGCAAAGACCCAGATCCCAGGAAATGTCCTATGGACAGCTGAATGGCCCTCAACTGCTGGGTTCCCTTCAACAAATAACAATGCCCTTAGAAAATGCACTGGAGTCTGGAAAAACATCTTCAGCACTAAACAGCAATCAGCAGCAGAGGAATGCACCTGGTCTGGAGCCCAATTCTGAAGCAAATGAGGTCCAGACACTGTGCCATGGCACACACCCAGCACCTTCCATGGATCTCCAAAATAATTACTTTTCCATAAAGAATGCCACAAGCAAGGCTGGTACTGAATCTGAGAATGGACTCTCAGACAAAGGGAGTGGACATTTTTCCAAGGAGTCATCTATGGTCCCTAAGCCAGTAGAGAGGAGATTGAGTTTTACCTTCAGAAGAGAAGAGAGTAGAGCTTCTTTTGGTGATAAGGGCGGCACCCCTCAATCAGATTTTGTCCATGCACAGTTTGTTCCAGCAGGGTCTCAGAGGGTAAAAGTGCGTCAACCAGACAAAAAAACAAAATCTGTAAAACTGAGAAAGAAGAGCTCTGAGAAGCCTTCAGCAAAGAAACATCAGCATAAACACTTGTCTCGAGAGTTCTGCACCAAAACCCGAGCTGACTTAAAACAGTCCGGCTCATGCAAAGGGAGAGTAACAAATCTGGAAGAGTCCCAGATGAACTCTTGCTCAGATTGCAGTTGTAATGGACTTTTCAACTCTCACTGCATCCAGAACAACTCTCACCTTCAACAGAGCCAAACCTCCAAGTCCACCAAGACCCATAAAGCCCCTGAACCTGTGCACCTTCCTCTAGACCAAGCCAAAAAGAAACAAAGTTCTCGGAAATGGCCTTCCTCCTCTGAGATCCGTTTGCCCCCAGCTCTCAACACCCAGAGATCCAAAGAGATGTTACACTCTCAAAAGGGGGCCATGGTAAAGAGTGTTAGTTCCAGGCCTCGCTCAGGTCATTGGGGCTGTCCTCCACGAGCCCTTCCCCACTCGCTCTCCACCTCCTCTTACTTCAGTTACTTGGAATCTAGATATCCGGCAGCTCCAATCTCCAGTCGCTACCCTCCTCGTTGCGAGTCAGAGATTTCGGAGTACTCTGCAGAGTGTGCATCGCTCTTTCACTCTACTATTGCAGCAAGCAGTGATGGAGAGTTGAGCGACTACACCACAAACCGTTTTGGAGACAGCGAGTCCAGTCAGGGCTGTCAGACAGCCTCAGACTCGGACAGTAGTCTCTCGCTGGATGAGGAGGACCTGTTGGAGGAAGAAGAGGAAGATGAAGGTGGTTTAGTGTGGGCTCAGGCTGCGTTGGGGACCACGGCCGCGGGCTTTTCTCCTCAGCAACATCATCGCCCAGAGCCAGCAGCCTGTCGCATCAAAGCTTCCAGAGCTCTGAAGAAGAAGATCCGCCGTTTTCAGCCAGCTTCACTCAAGGTTATGACTTTGGTGTAGCTTCACTAAAGCTTAGGATGGATCCTGTCAAGTAAACCTTTAGCTTCACCTGAAATTTGGGACTCACATGGATCCCCAAACTTGTGACCCAAGAAAACTCATAAGAGTATTTGGAGACTTCAAATCCAAAAAATGCCACATGTTGTAATGGCCAAACCCAATCACTGATCTCCACCCAACTTTACCCAGAACACGACTGTGGTAAAAGTTTCATACATTGACGTTCATCTATCACAAGAGTTGGGCAATTCTGTTATATTTTGTGCTAAAACAAATTTGACTTCCCAACAACACCAACAGTCTATGTTGATATGTATAAAAACTATATACTGTAAATAAGGTCTTTGAATATTTTTACAAAATTAACTATAATCAAAACCGCTGTGTAAATAGCACAATGGGAACGGCTTTGGTAATAAAACGAATTGATGTAACTGTAAACCTTTAGCTTCACCTGAAATTTGGGACTCACATGGATCCCCAAACTTGTGACCCAAGAAAACTCATAAGAGTATTTGGAGACTTCAAATCCAAAAAATGCCGCGTTGTAATGGCCAAACCCAATCACTGATCTCCACCCAACTTTACCCAGAACACGACTGTGGTAAAAGTTTCATACATTGACACTGCGACTCACTGTTCATCTATCACAAGAGTTGGGCAATTCTGTTATATTTTGTGCTAAAAAAAATTGGACTTCCCAACAACACCAACAGTCTATGTTGATATGTATAAAAACTATATACTGTAAATAAGGTCTTTGAATATTTTTACAAAATTAACTATAATCAAAACCGCTGTGTAAATAGCACAATGGGAACTGCTTTGGGAACAAAACGAATTGATGTAACTCAATAAAAATGGCTTTTTTCACATTCATTTCAGCTATGCATCTTATTTTTCTCTCAAAATAAATATTACTTAATGATCTTTTCCATTCTTATCCATATTGTCCATTCTTAAATTATAGCACAAATACAACACAGAAACTTTTTGTAAAATTAATTATTATTACCATACCAGAAGAATTTTCAAAAGTCCATTGTCCCACCTCAGAGTGTGCTTTTATCTGTGTGTAGGCTTTCTATCCATGCAAGGTCAGATCCATATACACAAGACAGGAGCTCTATTGTTTTCAATTAATCTCTGAGTGATATGGATTTAACTGAATAAGGTGAGGGCTGCAAAGATGTTAAGGAGAAAAAATAAAAGTAAAAGCAACAGGCAATGAAAGATGAGCATTAAATCAAAGAAGAAGAAAAAACATTTGACAGACAGACATCAAAGACTGGACATTCTCTAAATCTCCTTTTACTCGGTCTAAGAATCTCTATTAAAATTCCTGTAGTGTCACAGAGGTTGTGTTTAGGGTTCTGAATAGACTCAACACAGGTGAAGACCAGATGGTCCTTGGGCCCCTGGATGTGTTTTATCTTTGCTAGTCTGGGTTGAAAGGAGCTTAACTCTCTAACAGACTTTAGAATTTCATCAACTTTTACTTACAATTTACTGCACTGCTTGGTCTCATCACCATGGCAATGCACACATACCCCTTCAGCACAAATGACCAAGTATTTTAGGACTATTTCTGGCTCTGGAAAGTGGATTTATACAAAAAGCACCTGTTAGGCGAGCAATGTATTGAAAGTCCTTTTTACATTTTCTCCTCAATTTTTTCTAATTTATTGCACTTGACCTGCTTTGTTGCACATGCAAACAAAATTGTCTCTGACATTTTTGCATCTATTTAACCATATAATCTTTATGCAGCTTAATGTGTAATGCTGTGTTTCTTATGAACAGCTAACAAAAAAAGACAAAGTTTGTTAATAGATTAACTTTGATCAAGTCTTACAATGCAACACCTGATACTAAAATATTATTGTTAGTTCTAGATAGTTTTATTTTTAGATGAACACTAATTTCCTATAAGTGCATAGTGTCATAAAACCCAAAAATCATGTGTTGTATTCATGATTGTGTCAGACAGAGTTGCATCTATGATTGAAAACATCAAGCAAATCATGAGATTAAAGAGAGAGCATAGGTCACACTGTTTTTCTTTGACGCTGCATGGGTCAAGGCCAGCAAACCTGGCCCTGTGTTTGCATTCACCTCCACCAGCTGTCTAGCTAGATCATCTCACACACCCTGATGTCTTACAATGGAGCTAGTCAACAGGTTCAACTAAGAGGTCATGACCACACACTCCCAAACCTTTCTGTCTCATTTCGGCCTTTAGCCTTGGCCTTCCAATGCTTTTAGTTGTCTAAATGAATTGCGTTGTATTGGCTGCATTTACCCCTCATTTTAAATTCAAATTAAAGCTAGATTTATTAAAACATTTAACAAAAGTAAAGTTGTTAAATTACTCAAATATGTTATAGTCTACAGCAGGGGTGGCGAACTCCGGTCCTGGAGAGCCGCAGCCCTGCAGAGTTCAGCTCCAACCCTAATTAAAACTCACCTGCCTGTAGCTTCCTAGTAACTGTTCAGACCTTGATTAGCTTGTTCAGGTGTGTTTGATTAGGGTTGAAGCAAAACTCTGCAGGGCTGCGGCTCTCCAGTACCGACGTTCGCCACCCCTGGTCTACAGTCATCCAAAAAGGTTTTTTTAAGGCTATTGTATGTGACAAACCCTGATTCACTGTTTGTTACTGTTGCAATAGTAAGCATATTGTGTTTTGTTTAAAGTTGATTTTTAAATATTAAAAGTTTTCCATCTATGGAAAAGTTGAATGAATCATGCCATGCTAACTTAATACCATACTCTCTGACCCAGTTCTGCTATCCCATGCCTTCCTGTTGCGATGTTGACCTTTAACATGCTTGTTTAATCATGTAAGATCTTATGAGGCAGTCCTATTCAAGCAACACAAAAGCATGATAAACAGCTTTGAAATTTTGTTGTTTCTGAGTATGTTCACATGCATGATACTTACACCAATTATGTTTAATTACTTGAGAATGTATGTGAAATGGTCATGTAAACGCCTTAAACATTTTTCTTTTATCGGATAAAAGTCATAAACGGTCTATGCAAAACCTAATTGGCACACCTAGATGTTTATGTATTACGCTAATTTCATGCTGAATCAAAACCGGTGACCAAAAAACTCAAATTCAGCTTGCATATCTGCTTCTGACATTAAAAGAATCAAACAATCATTAAAATATAGGGGCTTTAATATAGCAAACTTGTAATAATGTCAATAAAACCCCAACATGTGACCACTCTACTATTAATGTGTAAAACCAGGGGATTTCATGCTCTTCTACAGCACAGCATGATGAGGGAGAAAGGGAGGAGAAAAGGGTATTGAGAGGATCAATACAAATCAGGAAGACGCTTGGGTCACAAGAGAGAGACAGAAATAAAGACAGGAATATATATATATATATATATATATAAACAACCCTAACGCAAGTTAGACATACAGGACAAAAGATGAAAAAACAGACAGACGGCTGGAATAGCTGTGAATTCTTGTTATCCACAGGAGGCATATTACTCTGAAGGGTTACTGCTGTTATTAGGGATCTCATTATGGCTCAAGTCTTCCATGCACAGTCAACACCTGCTGGGACTCCAGCCTCCACTGACCTGGACAGCCTTTGAAAGATTAATCCACATGGATGAGTCGGTTTGAACATGCAAAATGATTCCTAAGAGGTTATTTTGATACTGATGTTTAAATAAACTGATGCATTTGACCAAACAAGACTTGAAGATTCAGACATGTACAACTCTTAAACAAAGGTTTACACCGCACAAGTATTAATACTTAATAATACTTAATATTAAAATATTAATATAATTATATTATATAGCAGCTTAAATACTCTACTGTATATAGTTTAAAAGAAAAGAGGTTTAATTCTATAATCTAAATATAGAAATATTTAAATTAAGTAGAAATATGTAAAGTATATGTTGAAATTATACTTAAAAAATTTAATTAAAATGTAAAATAATTAGCTTTATAACTTGTATTGAAAAAATTATAAACATTCATACATTTGTTTCATAGCAATGTATGTGACTATTCAAATTAAAAAAAGGCATCATATTTTGTTAACATATTTTAAATAAATATGTTATTTAATATTTATAATAAAATATAATATTTATAAAAATATGTATATATTAACATTATTATATTTTTTAGGTTTAAAAGAAAGAAATCTAACAAAAAAGCTATATATAAAACAAAACAACATGTTGCACAAATCTGTTTCCTATATAACTGTACCACTGCACTATTTAGCATCACTATTTGCTGATACTACTGTGTTGTGTTTAGTTTCAAAGTGTGCTGCTAACTGCTCTGTCAATGTCACATCTCTAATACAATGTTAACGTGACAGACAAGTGAAACAGGGTTTTTAATGGAGGATGAGAGATAGAGAGAGAAACTACAAAGGAGCAGTGGCCATCCAACAGACGGGTGATAATTAAAGCCAGGATGGCGGGAGGGAGAAAAGCAGAGAGGAGAGGGGGGATGCAAGGGTCTCTGCTTTCTTTTAGTGATGAGGTAATCCCCAGTCCAAACACACGGCAGCCCACTGTCATCTGTGTCACAATTCACTGACCGTCCCCCTGTTCAACAGATGTCTCCTCTAGCAATGCTACAAGTCTCTCTCTATTCACTCGGGCTGTAATTTTGTGCATGCACAGAGCATGAAACTCGGTCATTGTTGTTTTGCAGCAAAGCTTAGCAAGAAGACAATTTCATACAAGGATCCAGACAGTTCTGAACCTTGTTGTTGAAGATGTATTTTGAGAAAGAGGGGTCTGATATAAGATAGTCTAGCTTGTACTAATCTGAACAATGTCTGAAACTTTGTATTATAAGCACTTCCTGTGTTTATTTGCCTCTTTATGAGGAATCGCTTGTTGTATTACTTAATTGTAAGTCGCTTTGGATAAAAGCGTGATCAAATAAATGCACAGACGCACATACACACACACACACACACGCACGCACACACACACACACACACACACGCACGCACACACACACACACACGCACGCACACACACACACACACGCACGCACACACACACACACACGCACGCACACACACACA